TATTAAGAACTTTGCCAAAAATGCGCCCCTATAAAATTGTCGACGCTGTTTACACGTATTCATCACACCATTGAAAAACTTTGAGGTTTTTAACTCGCATAATTCCTGGAGTTTCAGTTCAATTTCCTTTCTTTATTCCTCTTGGGAATTGAGTAATCCAGTAATATTACTTAAGTTTGCCCCTTCATAAATCACGTACCCAATTTGCATCAATGTGAAAGCAAGCATGGCGGATTTGGTTTGAGGGGCATACCTACCAGCTTGAAACCAGCTATCTCATGGTAGCTTGGGACCAAGTGCATTTACCATTATGGAAATGTTTGATTGTTTTATTTATTATTTTAAAAATAACGTCAGCCAGGATCAGTTTGTCTCTAAATGTATTTTGATTTTCTCTATTTCACAGTTTACCTCCGATGAGGATTCCAGAGTTGAGAACTTTAACGTGTACCCTTAAAGAAAGGAACGTTCAACGTCTGAAGTGTGCAAAGAAAACGAACATCTTAAAATAATCATTGTGACAGTTGTCACCAAAAATCTTGCATTATTAAATTATTATATTATATATTGTTTTATTATTGTATTGTATTGTATTGTATTATATTAACTTTTGGAAAAATGGCTCAAATGTGAAAAAAATGTGTCACACTTGGAAAAAAGGACCACACCTCGAAAAATGGGTAACACTTGGAAAAATAGTTTACATCTGAAACAATGGGTTACACCTCGGTCACTCTTGAAAAATTGGGTCACTTAAAAAAGGGGAACGCACTTGGAAAAATGGTTCACACTTGGAAAAAGGGCTCAAATTTGAAAAAATGTGTCACTCTTGGAAAAAATGGGGCACACCTCGAAAAATGGGTAACACTTGGAAAAATGGGTTCACTGGAAAAAATGTGTCAAACTTGGAAAAATGGGTCTGACTTGGAAAAATTGGTCACACTTGAAAAAAACCTGTGTCACGCTTGGAAAACTGAGTCACAGTTGAAAAAAATTGGTCACATTTGGAAAATTAATCTCAGTGGGAAAAAAGGATTCACTCTTGGAAAAAGGGGCACATTTGTAAAAATGGGTAACACTTGGAAAAATGGCTCACTTAGAAAAATGGGTCCACTGGTAAAAAAAGGGGGTCACACTTGGTAAAAAGTGTCAAACTTGGAAAAATGGGTCTGACTTGGAAAAATGGATGACACTTGAAAAATTCGTCACATTTGGAAAATTAATCTCACTTGGAAAAAAAGGGTTTCCTCTTGGAAAAAAGGGTCACATTTGCAAGAGTGGGTCGCTCTTGGAAAAATGGGTCACATTTGGAAAAAAGGGGGACGCACTTGCAAGAATGGGCCACACTTAGAAAAGTGGGTCACATTTGGAAAATGGTTCACATTTGGAACAATGGGTAACACTTCGGTAAATAGGTCACACGCAAAAATGGGTTATATTTGCAAAAGTGGGTCACACTTGTAAAAAGGGTCACACTTGTAGAAAAGGAGTCACACTGGGAAAAATGGGTCACACTTGGAAAAAAGGATCACACTTGGAAAAATGGGTCACACTTGGAACAAATGGGGTCACTCTTGGAAAAAAGAGCTACACTTGGAACAATTGGTCACGTTTGGAAAAATGGGTCATTCTTGGAAAAATAGGTGACACATGGATATATGAGTCACCCTTAGAAAAGTGGGTCACAAAAAACTGGTCATACTTTGAAAAAGGAGTTTTATACATGCAAAAATGGATCACACTTGGAAAAAGGGTCACACTTGGAAAAATGGGTCACACTTGGAAAAATAAGTAACATTTGGAAAAATGGGTCACACTCAGAAAAGTATGTCAAATTCAATAAATGGTCACTCTTGGGAAAAAGGGGTTCACACATGCATAAAAGAGTCACACTTGGAATAGGATGTCACGTTTAAAAAAAGGTTAAACTTTGAAAAATGGGTCACGCTTGGAGAAATGAGTCATACTTGGAAAAATGGGTCACACTTGGAAAAATCAATCAAACTTGTAAGAATGGGAGATACTTGAAAAAAAGGGCCACATTTTTGAAATTGCAAAAAAGGGGCCAGACTTTGAGAAAAAATAGGTCACACCTTGAAAAATGGGTCACACTTAAGAAAATGATATTCACACCTCGAAAAATGGGTCACTGTTGGACTAATGGGTCGCACTGGAAAAAAAGGGTTTCACTCTTGGAAAAAAGTGTCAAACTTGGAAAAATGGGTCACACTTGGAAAAATGGGTCACATTTGGAAAAATGAATCATACTTGGAAAAATGGGTCACACTTGGAAAAAACTGGGTCGCACTTGGAAAAATGGGTCACACTTGGAAAAATTGGTTACATTTTGAGAATTGGGCACTCTTGGTAAAAACGAGGTTACACTTGGAAAAAAGGGTCACATTTGGAAAAAATGGGTTATACTTGGAAAAAAGGATTACACGTAGAGAAATGAGTAGCACTCTTACAAAAGGATAAAACTTGGAAAAATGGGTCACACTCTGAAAAAAGGATCACACTTGGAAAAATGGGGCACACTTGCAAATATGCGTCACACTTGGTAAAGTGGGTGACATTCGGAAAAAAATTGGTCTCACTTGGATAAAAGGAGGTCGAGAATCTCCCATAAAGACCGACCAAGCGTGGTTGATAAGATGTTTATTATATGGCGAACAAGAACAATTTAATTCGTTTAATGTAACTGGTTTGTATCAGCTGACATTTGGCTTGCGAACGGCGATGAGCTGAATTTAATTCTGCCAAAGTTTGCTCATCCTCTTTACTTCTTTTTCTCATCAGGTTTTTGACACTTTCAAACGTAAATATTGTTAGAAGAAAAGAGTCAGTAATTGTGCATTTTAGTTTGCAACTTTTTCACTGCCAAAAATTACCGGTCTAGATGCCGGTCTCCATGGGAAAATGTAGACTGCTTTCGATATCGATTGCAGCCAATCAAATTCGTGAATTTGGTGGTTTCCACTCCTTGTGAGACAGAGCCATATAATAATGGCCCTTAGGTGTGCTCAGGACCCCAGTAACTGATCCCGATATGACCATAGAATTTGTTTCTAATAAGGTAGCGTCTCAAGAAATAATTAACGTTTGACATTTCAAAGAAAAGTTAAACAGCGACATAGCTAATAATATTTAGCGCAGATAAGTTGTCTTCTTAGATTGAAGGTGGTAATTTCAGGAGTAAAGCATTTTCAAGTTTTATGAAAGAGAAGGTACGTTCTTAGTATAAATCTCTTAAAGAAAATAAAAGTACCAGCTCCTAAAAAATCTATTCTTGGTATTTTTTAAAGACATTTGGGAGACTCAGCCGGGCGACCTTGGCAGTGAGGGAAAGGGGTTGGTTATCTCAGAGACCGCCATTGACCTGGTACACGCAAAGGCCCAAATTTAATTTGATCCTCTGGTGTCGAAACCAGCAAATGCCACCCCT